AATAATATAATATAATACAAAATTATAATTTGTGTATTTTTGGTTTCTTTGTTTTGTTTGGATATAAGGTCTCACTGCTTGCCAAAGCTGGTCTCGAACTTCTGACTCAGCCTTTTGAATAGCTGAGACTATAGACATGTGACCCCCAGTCCAATTCAACATTGCAATTTCTAAAGGCAAAATGTAAGCAGTACAATTCTCAGCTGGTAATATTTCTTGCTTGTTTTTCATTTTAATGTTCTTTTAATTGTATGAATGGCATACAACTAAAAATAACAAAAGCTTTTAAGATGTAGCATATTAGTGAGGGTTTAAGTACTTAGCTGTGTTAAGAAGTGCCCTTAAAAGTGGTTTCAAAAGCTTTCATTCTTCAATAGAAATCACTTCCATCTAAACAAAACTTATTTATAATTATGTAGAAATGGTAGCAAAATGAGTCCTTAACAATCTTCTAAATTTTATTATTCTTAAAACATAATTTTCTTTTTGTCCTCTCAAATTAGTTGCCATTCTTTCCCTTAAAGTCCATATTAAAAGTTCATTATTTATTAACACATAAGAAATGTACAATTCTCTTAAATTGACACTTTTTTTAAATTAAGGAAAATCTAACAATACCCCTCAGAGTTAACATAGAATAGAAGAGAAATTTTATAATTACCTTGATTAGATTTATCTCCTCAAACAATATTGACACCTAATCAATGTAAATAAAATCAGTTTGTAACCACCAGTAATCTCCATACAATATTTGTGATATCCACACTTTGAATGATCTTGTAAAACAAACTTCAGAAAAACAAAAGACCAAAGATCTTTAAGAGTTTATAGGGTTCTTGGGAAAGCAGTTGCCAAATGGGGACACCAGAGGATGTCTAGAGGTTTGGATTGTGTCAACCTGACTGGCTATGGTATCTGCCCAAAGAATCGGTGGAACACACTTCTGGATGGTCTGGAGTCTGGGTGGGCCATAAATGCATGATCTGAGGTCTACATCAGGTCCCTCATCCTTTCTTCTTGGGCAGTATTCCTCTGATCTGCCTCCCACCTCTATGAACTAAACAAATTTGCTTTTCCACACCCTTCCATGATGATGTTCTTGCCTTGGAGCCAATTAGCCATGGACTAATGGCCCTGAAACTGTAAGTCAGATTGAACTGGTATTACTTTAAATGGCAGGTATCAGGTAATTGTGTTCATCAACTAGTCAGAAGCTGACTCCTACACCATGTGATTTCAGAAACACTATCAAAATCGCATTCTTAAAGCATTCAGATTCAGTTAGTGCTCCTTAGAAATCCTACTAGCCCATGATAATAGAACAGCAGGGTTTGTGAGAACACAGGCTATTCCCTAAAGGCTAAGTGTAAGTGGACCCGTGTTACTTGGAGAATTAAGTTCTTGTGCTCTCCTTCCAGTTCATAACAGAGTGTTTACTGCGTCCAATACTTCCTAGGCAAATGCATTTTCAGGCATTCTTCACATCAGCTGTGCCTAGGCAACCTCAACAGGAAATGGGCATTTTCAGCCTGTCCAGAAAGAGTGCAAGTGTGGGAAACTATTTTATGTCTAGATATAAAGCCATCTATGGATGTCTGATTGGTGTAGCATTGATTTTTCCCAAAAGATATTGAAATATTACTTGAAATTGCTATATTACCTTTCATCTATTGATGAGAAAACTTAGTATTCATGTATTTTCTAGATTATGAATACATAATCCTTTTGTATTTTTTAAAATATTGTATCTTGAAGGAATGGTGATCTTTTAAAAAACATGCAAATAAATGTTAACTAATCATAGCTATTTCTTTCAAAGAAGTCTTCTTGAGACATGTTAACTATAAGAAATTGAAATAAGGGGCAGGAATTTAGCTCAGTGGTTCTGCTGCCTGACTCATAAGTGCAACTTCACAAGTTAAATCCCTGATACCCCCCAAAATTGAAATATTTACTAGGTTTAACACTTAGAAGTGTTACTATATGTATGTGCCTACACCCTTCTGTAAAGAAAGTAGCAGAGATAATCTTCAATGCCTTTTTTAAAAGGCAAAATTAAAAACCTTGAGGACCCTTTCTCACCGTGACAAAGTTGTGCACCAGATTTTTTCAGCTTCAAAGGTAGAGAACCTTGGGCTCTTCTCAGGAGAGCAATAGTTTTAATGATTCTAGAGACAGCGATGTTATTCGGAAACCAATAAGCATACCCTGAATTGACGGTGGCCTCTTTGTGTTTTACCTTTAATGTGAACTAATACTTTCTCCAATTTCTCATTTTTCTTACCTACAGATAAACCAATATAAAGAGTGAGCTATAATATTCAAACTGTTTACTTCTCTACTTGATATTGCAGCACTTATATGTCAAGTCCCTATACTAATCCTTTATTTGGGAATAGAGAGCTTTTTTTTTTTAAACCAGAATAAATAAAACCAGAACTTTCATCTTAATAAGACAAGTATACTCCTCTACAGCAATTTCGGCAACAGAAAACAATCATTTTGTGCATCAATTTCTTTTTCTTGGAAAGGAAAGGAATGCATAATTCCTATCTCATGGTGTATAGTGAGATCAGTAATGCACAACTTCTTATGGAAAACCATCTATAAATGAATGAATGCAGGTACGTGTGCAGTATAATATCATACTTTGAAAATATTTAGAAAGGGGAAACTTAGGAACATTGGTGAAGAATTTCAAGGCTAGGAAGCCAATAATCTAATAGGTTTTTGAAGTGTTTAAATAATACAGCATTAGCCCTATGCAGGAACGTTAGTGCAACAATCTACATTATTATTATTCCTTCATGCTCAGATTTCTTCCCAGGAAGTTATATATAGACACCTCCAAAGTAGTAATTTGGAGAGAAAAATGTACACATAGAGAATTTAAGTCATTACCATGGTATACAGCTGAGGCAGAGTAAATAAATGAAAAAGAATTTTTATCCCCCCTCTGGAGGACAATGCTGCTTGCTCTTTTTAACAAAACCAAAACATTGTCTGTCCATGCTGGATCTCAGTTTTATTTTTGCATAAGTTTTTCAGAAGAAAATAGGTGATAAATTTAGGGAGGAAATATGTTAGCCACACTAGAAAAAAATGCTTTAAAATGTCTAGAGTTAATTCTGACTTTCTATGAATAAATAATAAAGTCCACTGTACATAGATTTTAATAATGAGGGGCACAGGCCACTTTCATCAGGGTTACCTAAAGTAAATGTAAATAATTCAGATTTCTAGATTCCATCACAGAAATCTGAATTTTATACATTCTCTAAGTATTCCCCAAAACTTAGCAACCATTTCTATAGTAACTTAGTACTTTTACATTTAACTATCAACATATAAAATGATAGAAAAATACAGTGAATACTTAAATTTTTAAGAAAATTTATGATGAATTACACATTGCTGTTAATCATCTCAAAAATACCACCCCTGTCTCTGAACGCACGTCTCCCATCATTCTAGGCACTCTTTGAAGCATTGTCAAGGTCCTCTTTCATGGGTGTCTTAGTTGTGATGTCATGGCTACCTCAATGTCGAGAATCCACATCAGATGACCTTTTGTTGTGGCGTAGATCTAGGATCCTCCACCAAAAATGCTCATGTGTTCAGAGGTGGGCCTTCTAGAAGGTGACTGGATCACGGGGGTCATAGTGAATTCATCCATTGAAGAAAAGTTCAGGACAACATGTGCTACTAAGTGAAGTCTGGTCTGAAAAGTTGGGTCACTGGGGCGTGATCCGGAAGCCTGCATCTTGTTCCTGGTTCCTTCCTTAGCTCTCTGCTTCCTGGCCTCCATGATATGAGCAGCTTTCCCCCACCCCACACCCTTCCACCACGCCATTGGTGGATTTCAGCCTGCAGTAATAGATTGAAACTTCTGAAACTGTGAGACAAAATAAACCTCTCCTTCTTTAACTTGTGGGTGTTGGGTACTGGGTCCTGTAACAAAGTGACTAAAACACTTTTCTTGGGGTTTAAAATACTCCGTAAGTCATGTTGTAAACCTTGCTGGAGCCTTGTTGCTCCTTTTACAGAGTACAAGTAAACTGGATCTATGTGGGTTATTGCAATTACAATGTAATTAAATAGAATTACAAGATAACTGCAGTGTAATCACAGTATAACATCAGTCACTGATAATAGAACATCATGACGGATAAAGCAGTATAGTGAAATATGGAAACAGTTACAAACTGTGACACAGTGAAATGAGTATGTGTGGCTGGAAATAAAGCAACTCCAATTCAGGATTCCTCATACCTCCAATTTGTAAACAATGCCTTGTATCTGTGAAGTTCAATCAAGTGAAGCACACTGAAACTACTAATCCTATACTGATGCTTGAATTATAAAACCAGAGGAAAAAAAACATGGCAGAAAAATCCCTGAAACAGTTGACTTGTTTCCCTGCAAGTCTGAAGTTATAAAATCTAGCAACTTAACTCCAAATAGAAAATACTTTATTAAAGAGAGACTTCAGTGACTACCACCTTACCATTAGGACTTTGGTTGGGCAAAGCAATGTTGTTCCTGTAATTGTTCTCCAGAGACTTAGTAGATATTACAAAAAGCAACTTGGCTGTAGATGTCTCCAAAGGTAACTGTCTGAAGGGGCAAGTGTGCAAGACAAGGAAGAAAATGGGCTGTTTGTCCAATGTGGAAGGTCAGCCACAGGGGGGTTGGTGGGATCACTTTATGTCAAGGAAGGCTCCCAGCTCCAGGAGGGTGGATGTAGGACACATGTTCATAAAGACATGTCAATGCCTCATAAAGTGAGAGGTAATGTCTGAACATCTGCCCGGAAACGAACCTAGTAGCCAAGAAAGCCTTGTATCGATGGCACTGGTGAAATAAGCATTTTGTTTGCCTTTATTCCTCATCACTCGTTCCAACTTCAATCTTGGGAAAAGCAAAGACAGAAGACTGACTAGCAGCAGAGAAGTGCAAGAGGTGAGAAAAAATTGGTAAATTGTAGAACATTTGCTTACCTTGCTGCAGGTCAGGCCTCAGCCAGAGCTAGAAGGAAGATGCCGAAAGCAATCTTTGAGATGAACGTGCAGTGGAAATTCTGGTGCAGTAAGACTGATGAGACCATTCTATTATCTGAAAGCAGCAGAAATTTCTTTCTCATATAAGAAGATCTCCAGGGTAGGGAAGGAATGTTTGACATTGCATACTTGAGAGCAGAAGATAGAAAAAAAGGAACAGATATATTTTTCTTATATTTTTATTAATTAAAACACATTATAATGTCTTTTAATAACTTAACTATTACTTCACAATGTTGTGATAAGAATACTCAATTTACATATAAGCTTAATTCAACATTTTAATTAAAGTTTCAAGAAATTAATTTTATTTTTAAAAACAATTTGAATATACTCCTTTGTGTTGCTACTTCTTAACGATTCTTCTACTTTATTCTATTTTGTAAATCTGGAAAAACAGAACTTGAGCTATGAACTAGGACAGAACTCGTGACTCCCAAAAGCTAGTGTGGCTACTTTTTCCTAGAAATTTGGTTTTAAATTAAAAAGTAACACATTACTTTGGTTTCATGAAGATGCAATTTACCCAAATGTGTAATCACCATCATAAATGATTAGGTGATTACGTAACTAAAGACCAGAAAACCCAAGGAATAATATGAGCATATTCTCAAAATGTGCAAAGCATGATCAAGGTTGATTTGAATTAGACGGAGTTAGGACTGGGCTGGGAAGGTCTTTATTAAATGTTACTGGTCAATAAAAAATGTCTTCCATATTTTAGTTGCTGTCTCACTACACACAATGGCTGCACTTACAACCACAATTCTTCCTGGGCAGCTAAAAGAATGACTTTTGCTATGATGAGCACAGGCAAGTATGAAAAGAAACAGTTTGAGCACAAAAGACAAGTAAAATCAGATACTAGAAAAAAAAAGATGGAAGGAGGAAAAAGGTTAAAAAGAGGAAGAAAATGAAGGAAGTCAAGAATGGGCTATAGATGAAAGAAGTTGACTCTACAAAGTTCAAACTTTTAATCTAAATGTCAAGCAAAAGAAGTCTGCAAAGAAGGATTCTATCTTGAGGAAAAAGAGTCAAAATTTTAGGTGTACTGTGGAATACGGTTTTCACAAGCCACATGACCTACTTTTTTTCTCATTGAGTTTATCGGTACATTTTAGGTATACAGTACAGTAACATTCATTGTTGGGATCTTGTACCTTTACATGACAGGTCTTGGTTCTCATTTTTTCCCCATACCCGTGCCCTACCTTCACCCACTCCACCCTTCCCTATTTACAAAAACGTTATTTTCATTTTTCATTTTCTCATACTTTTTTATTTTCCCTTACATCCTTTCCCCTACCCTTCCCACATCCCCTACACCTTTAGCCCTTTTCTTCCTATTTCACGTTGTCCATTAGGATCTTATTTACACTTTCAGTTTTTTGCAACAGAGGAACTATTCAGAATTTACACGTGTGACTTATTTATTTCACTGGAGTATAACCTTAATATGCATCCATTTTCCTATAAATGACTCTACTTTCTCATTCTTTATGGCTAAGTAGTATTCCATTTTATAGAAAAACTACATCTTCTTTATCCAGTCTCCAACTAATGGGCATTTGGGCTGTTTCCAAGTTTTAGCTATTACAAACTGTGCCACTATAAACATGGGTGCACATACATCACTGTGATATGATTCTTTTAGTTCTTTTGGAAAGATACCCAGCAAAGGGATGGCTGGGTCAAATGGAATCTCTAGTCCCAGCTCTTTGAGGTGTCTCCATATTGATTTCCATAATGGTTGTACCAGTCAGCACTCCCACCAACAAAGGAGAAGGGTTCCTTTCTCCCTACAACCCCGCCAACATTTGTTATTGCTTGATTTCTTGATAACAGCCATTCTTTCTGGGGTAAGGTAGAATCTGTGTTGTTTTTATCTGCATCTCTCGAATGACCAGTAATGTGGAACATTTTTTCATATATTTGCTTACTGTTTTTACTTCTTTGTCTGAGAAATGTCTGTTCATTTCAGATGCCCATTTTTCAATCGGTCTTTATATTTGGGGGAGCTGGTTGTTTTGAGTTCTTTATATATTCTAGATAGTAGTTCTTTGTCTGAGGAGCAGCTGGTAAAAATTTTTCTCCCATTGTAGGTTGTCTCTTAGTTCTGTTGATGGTTTCTTTTGCAGTACAGAAGCTTTTTAATAAGATGAGATTCCACTTGTTGATTCTTTGTGCTAGTTCCTGTGCTACTGAGGATTTGTTCATAAAGTCTTTGCCTATGCCAATGTCTTCCAGAGTTCTGCCTAACTTATCTTTCAGAAAACTTAGTGTCTCTTTTTTAATATTTAGATCTTCAATCCACTTGTATTTTAGTTTAGTTCATGGTGAAAGATAAAGGTCTAGTTTTAATCTTTGGCAGGTTGAAATTGAGTTTTTCCAACACCATTTATTAAAGAGGCTATCTTTCCTCCAGTGAGAATGGTTGGCTCCTTTGTTGAAGATGAGGTAGCTGAGTACATCTGGAGTTGTTTCTGTATCTTTCTGTCTATTCCACTTGTCCTCATGTTTGTTTCTTTGCCAGTACCATGCTGTTTTTATCACAGCGGCTTTGCTGGATAGTTTAAAATTGGGAATTGTTATACCTGCTGCCATGTCTCTGTTGTCTAGGATGGCTTTTGCTATTCTAGATCTCTTCTGGTTCTAAATGAATTTTTGGATTCTTTTTTCTAGTTCTGTGAAATATAGTGTTGGAATTTCAATTGGCATTGCATTGAATCTATATAGCAGTTTTGGTAGTATGGCCATTTTCACTATGTTGATTCTTCCTACTCAGGAGGAGGGGATATCTTTCTGTTATGTCTAATGATAAATCAGGGCTCTAGATTTTCAGTCACAGGTCTCCTGTAGTTTGTTTTAAAAAACAAAAACAAAGCCTTAGTCTTTTTGTACACTGCACTAAAACTTTCTGATATTTGGCCATATCAACCTCCAAATAGATGATGGTAAAGAATAAGAAATCAGTTCCCTGGTGGGATGTGTGGTGAGCAGCTCATAGATGGATTGTGTGTGGATTCCAATTGGCCAGAACAGATTGGCCACAAAGGCTGAGGGAAGTCATATGAGATCAAGAAATCCTCCCCATTGGTAATTGGTTGGGAAAAAATCACAAATCATTTTTAATCTTTGTAGGCAAGGAAGCCTATTATTTTGTGTGATGTCATATCTGACAATATGAGCTTAGTGTAATTGGATTTTATCTCTAGTAACTTTGGGTATCTTATAGCTTAGCATCATCAGCCATGGAGAGAGTAATTTCTGCAAAACTTTCAACATAAAAAAGTGCAACGGAATTATCACATTTTATCTACCTGTGGATATTTATAAAGTGTGCCTGGTGTGTAAGAGTCTGAAGAAGCCAGAGACCTTTAAACCAGGTGTCTCTAAGATTATGATTATGCAACTGCAGTAAGAGGACGGTTCTGCAAAGCTTTAGAAAGCAACTCCCTATGGGTAGTGTTGATTTTCCCAAGAGAATGCAAATAGGTGGGAAGGCTCTGAATGAAAGCCATTCTAAAGAATGCTGAGCACAGAGCCACTGCTGTGCAGTGAGTAATTCTTTCTAAGACTGAGAATGAAATGATGTTAAAATCGAGGTCTACAGAGAAGTTAGACAACACAATAATTGTGAACATCCCATAAATCCTCTCAAGAACCACAGTCATGCTCTTTGGTCTTTCTGAGGATTGTGCTGAGATATTACAAAGACCAGTGCAGAGGACAATGAGCTGTTTCTGTAGGTGCACCAATGGACTGCTGACTCCCACTGCCTCTTTCTTAGACCATCTTGGGGATTTCTGTGAAGGAGTAGCTGGGCTGGTTGAGACGTATCAGGATACATCCACCATTATGTATTCCATGTCTGAACTTTCTTTGGACCAGAAGGAAGCAACTGAAGACAGATTCAAGGGGGAAGAGGTTGGTAGGTGAGACATCAAACTGTAGGTAACTGTAAGCCATTCACTATGTGCTGCTTACAAACTTGTTTAAGTCTAGTGAAACAGATCTTGCTCAAACACAACACATTACGACAACTATGTTTGTTACTTACACATAGCGGCAGGGACTAAAGAAGGCTTGCATCCATATCAGATTCAAGGGGGAAGAGGTTGGTAGGTGAGACATCAAACTGTAGGTAACTGTAAGCCATTCATTATGTGCTGCTTACAAACTTGTTTAATCTAGTGAAACAGATCTTGCTCAAACACAACACATTACGACAAGTATGTTTGTTACTTACACATAGCGGCAGGGACTAAAGAAGGCTTGCATCCATGTAAGCCAGTCCCCAGAACATCCTCACTCAAGATGTTACAGCCCCTGGGAGGGACAGTGACAAGGCCCAGCTTATTTCCACAGCTCCTCCCTACCTCAGAACATTGTGTTCCTAGCATATTCTATAGTTATTTTTGAGAAAAGCCAGCAAGAAAAGAGGGAGGGAAGAGCCGAGGTTATTTCAGGACTACCTGAAGAGCTGTCTTGCAGTGAGAGTTTGTGCTGTAGTCTCCATGAGTACTCTCAGAGTTCATATTTCAAATGATAACAGCCTAAGAGTTGGCATAAAGAGGATGGGACTTTGGGAAGTGATAAAGTCATGGGGTTGGATCCCCCATGAACAAGTTCTGTATTGTGACAAAAGAAGAGAAACAGAAAGCCCTTGTCCTTTCTACTGTGTGAGGCTATGGCTACAATGAAAAATATTCCAAGATGTAGTCCCTCACCAGATACCTAATTTGCAAGTGCCTTACTCTTGGACTTCTTAGCCTTTAGAATTAGGAAAAATCGACTTCTGTTATTTATAAGCCAGCTCATTTACGGCATTTTGTTATAGTCGGTAGAACAGAGTAAGACAACACATCATCATCAAATCACATACAGAAGCTTCTCTTTCTGGGAGGTCCAGAAGGGCTGCCAGGTGCAGTTAATGGCAGGGCCTCATTAACAAGCAGAGTGTCTTCACAACAGATCATCGCAGTGAAAAGCAGCAGGAATCAAATTGACTACTAAGAAGGCCCAGAGAGACTGGAAGGGGCTAAGGAAAAGGCA